CTCCTGTTCTGCTGTTTAAGGTGGAAGTTTCGCACGTGAGGACTTAATAACAGATTTTTTTATTATTATTATTATTATTATTTATTTCTTCTTACCACTGTTGATAACACTTTGAGTAACACTGTGAAGTATTTCTGCTGCCCTCTGAGCCCCACCACTGCATTCCCTGATCTCTGCTGTTGCCTTATAGATTTAGGGTTCCTCCAGCTGTTTTTTTTTTCCAGAAATACAGGGGGAGGTAGGAGGGATGGAGAACCCCTAGCTGAAAATAGGGCGTTTTGAGTCCTTTGTCCTGGCTTTCACGTTGAGGAGAAAAAGGACAGAATGTTTTCTAAGCTTGTTTGTTTAACAGTTGTTAAAACTTACCTTCTTTGATGTCGTTGGAGGGATTTTTATATGAGGTTTGAAGGTTGGCCAGTTAAACTTTGCTGTAGGAAATGTTTCTTCTTATCCCACGCTATCTCCTGGGGTTTGGGTTATCTCTAGCTGAAAGTCACATTAGTGCTTAGGAAAGAAGCTTTGGTTAGAAGAAAGTTCACTTCTTCCCTATCTGAAGTGATCCATCAGTAGCCCTAGGAAGAGCAGGAGTGATCTGCTGTTGAGGATGCAAAAATTCAGGATCAAACCCGAATTTGCTGAGGTTAAGGAGAACTAGAATTTGCCTGCATGATAAATCCTACATGTGTGCATCTCCACAGTGCTGCCTTTTCCACGGTGAGGTTTAGTTTTTCAGGGTTGTGCCGATGAGCTGTGGAGTAACTTCCATTTTCAGCTGGGGTCAGATTGACTTGGCGGGTTACAGCGTGGGTGGGTCAGTTGGCACATCTCTTTATGAACCCCGCTCGTGTGCACAGCCACTTCTGCTCCTTTGGAAGTGGCCCATGAAATGAACACGAAGCCAAGTGCCAGCAGTGACTTCCAGGCAAGCTCTTAACGTTTTATGGCGAAGTTTTATGCACAGGCTTTTCATCTCCCTTGAAAATTGGGAATGAGATTTGTTTTCTTTTTCTACTGCTCGGTGTGCTTTCCCAAGTCGTTCACTACTGAATAAAAGGGAGAGGAAAAAGTGAATCAAAATGTCATTAGCAGGTGCCAGAGCACGATGCTGAGAGCTTTGATGCTTCCACGTGATGCTGGAAACCTCAGGCCTTTCGTTTCACGTTTTGTTAGCTACTTCTGTGAGTTTATCAGCGTTGTGTTGTTTGTGCCCCTGTCATTATTTTATCAGAAACGTAGGGGCAGTAGTAACCTTTGCCTGTGTACCTGCTCTGGAGAAGCAATCTTTTGTGATTTCCTCATAATTAGAAGTATTGCTGTTGCTGTTTTAACCTTGGTGGTGATTTTTATTGTCGTTATTAGGTGATACGAAACCACATCTGAGCTGGAGTCGTGACCCCAGACTGAACAGGGAGTGCTCCAGTAGTCTTGGAAATCAGATATGGTGAGGAACCAAGTAGGCTGTGTTAGGGAGGCTATTGAAAACTCAGGATTGCATCGGATAAGAAAACAGTTTTAATCCTTGTCAGAATAATCCAGTGAGATAGCTGTGAGTGGGAGAGGTTTGTTTTGTCTCCCAAGGTGGTTTGGCCCGTCAGCGTGAGGATTTCATGAGGAAGCAGGTGAAACAAAAACTCAAGTTACAGTGAGAACGAGCGCCTTGTTTATTCCTCCTTTTGTCTTCCTGGGATTTTCTTTCTTTGCTCTTTAAAAACTTCTCTGTGCATGTATATGCTATAGTTTGTTTCCTCTTCCAGAAACACATCTTTCTGGGTTTTTTTTTAACTTCAGAAGTTAACCACGTTTTTTGTGATTTCCTTCCATTTCAAAACTCCTGCTAGCATCAGCTGGAAAGTAAAGCCAGTGCTGATGGCCAGAATGATCATTTTTTTTTTTCTTAGTATCTCGGAAACCTTTTTTGTGGGGGTGGGTGTGTGAAATCCACTCCCTTAGGAGTGAGTAACGGCTGTGTAACCCTCATTTTGCGACTTTAGCAGCATATTTATGTTACTAGCTTCCTTGATTAGTAAACTATACAGTAGAGACCACCATGTCTGGAAGCAGGCACGTGTGTAAGGGCGTGCAGCTGGGACAAAAGGAAAATGTGTCGAGCTGCCAGAGCTGGGTGATACTCCCCCAAGAGTGCTAAAAGAACTTGAATGAAATAACTGAAATAACAGCTGGTGTGTGTTGGTTTCAGCCAAGCAGCTCGTGGGGGCTGGCAGGTGTGGTGATTTAAAAGCAAATAATTAAGTAAAGGGAAAATGAAACAAGGAGCTTCAGGAGAGAATCAGAATTACAGGCCAGTCTAGCAGAAAGAAGGATTGAGACTTGATAAGCGCCTTGATGAATGTGATACACCAGAGTAGTGTCAGTATGGCTCTTTGAAAGGAAAACATACCTCTTGGAGCTCTTGGGAAGGATCAGCAAGCATATAAATAGGGTGATGTGGGAGACATGGTCATGATTTCCAAACATCTTTCAACAGATTTCCTTATCAAAAGAAATCAAGCAGGCAGGGTTAAGGGGGAAGGACCTTGCATGGGGGAAAAAATGAATAAACCCAGAAGAAATGGAGGGTAGGGATAGCTGATAGATTTTTTTTTTTTATTATTTTTATCTTTTTTATTTTATTTCCCCTAGCAGAGGCAGGTCCAGTGGAGATAGATCTGCAAGGATCTGGGCTGGTCAGCATGTTGTAAATGACTGGGAAAAAGAGGTGAGAAGTGAAGTGGCGTTGCAAACGCAGCGCTTTTATTCCAGATAAATAAGATAAACTGTTTTTACTGGGAGGACTGTAAAAGGACCATGTGAGACTAACTGGGCTTGGAAATTGTAGACCCGTGAAGTAATGCACAGGGTGAAAATGATCTTATCATCATCTGTCAGGTGGAATCTGGGATAACTTACTGGTCGGGAGTTGAGTTTTTAGGTTGTTGTAGTGATCTGGAAGTATCTTGAACTTCTGGAAAAGGTGTTAGATGTCCTGAAAGAAGGAAACAGAGACCACCATGGGTGCAGCATGGATTTAAGGTGTAGCTCACCCTCTTGAGTATTGTGCATTTCTAATACTCTGATCTGAAAGGATATAGCTCATTTGGAAAAACTGTGGAATGACTAAAGTAGGATTTCCCAACTAGGAAACAATATTATTGCAAAGTTTTAAGAAGAAACGCTTAAATGGTACGTAGCATCTACAAATAGGAGAGAGCAGTGTCTGGAGCTGTGCAGCTCCTTGCCACAGGACGTCGTGCGTGCTGGAAGTGTACGTGGATTTAAGGAGGGATTTGACAAAGGGAAGATTCACTCTGAGGTCCCGCGTTACCTGGAAGCCACATCTGGCCTAGGAGATCTCCGAGGTGGAAATCACAGAAGCCTTCTGTCATCTTCTATAGGCGTGTGGTTTTGGCTGCTGCTCCTGTTTGGTGACTGACAGGAGAGATGTGAATGTGTCCTAAAACGGAAAAATACTTCCCTGAAGGCACGTGTGGAAGGGGAGGATAGAAATGGACTAGTCAAATGAGTAAGAAACGAAGAATGGAAGGGGAAGGGAAGAGAAAAGGTGTCAATGGATCCAAAAGCTTTACAATTTGAAAATTAGGGAACTGGAAAGGAGGGTCATGAATAACAAGGGGAGAAATGTAGGCGGAATGATTGATTTTGGAGGAGCTGGAAGAGGGGCTGTAGTGAATGTGCACCTCTTGGTGCAGCAAAGGTGCTGGTTTAAATGGTGCAACATCCTCCACACAGAACCTTTCTGTGGTTTTAATGCTTCTTTCGAACTGGAAACAGAAGCAGGTTTCTGATGCCTTTTTCTTAAGTGATTTTTTTTGCCTGACCAAAGTTGGAATCTACAGGCCAGTTCCCCCAGTGAACCATTTCTCAGTTGCTTCAGACTTCAGGTTGGAGCGGAGAAAACACCTCTTTTTCAGGCCCATCAAGACACGGCGTATCTGTGGGTGGACTTTCCTGGCAACTGGAGTGTTGCCAAGCATCACCTCTTGTCTCATAAAAGCTAAACATGTATTTACATGTGCTAGAACCAGTGACCTGGGCTTCGGGGCGCTGCTTGGAGATGGTCCTGGTCTCAGCAGTAAAAAAATTCCAAAAACTTGGCAGTATTTTTCTATCAAATTACGATTCTTGCTCGTAGTTAGGTCAGAAGGTGGCAAACGTTTACTGTAGTTTCTTAATGTGCCAGTAAGGTTGTGCTTAGACTTAGTTTTCACCTTGAAACTGGATTCTCACTTATCCTTTATTGCAGCAGTTGGAAAAGGTTTTTGATGCTGAAACGTAGCAAAATTAATGCTGGAAACGTTAAAACTTTTAAAAATGATGATAATGTGGGGGCTTCTCTTTGCACCTCGGATTGATTTAGGCAGAAGCTTATTAAAAAAGACTTGAAAAAAGGATTCTGTGTCGTTTGAATTATTTAGAATAGCTAAAGAAAAAGGGCATGTTTTAATAATAAATCATTAGTTTTTGAGAAGTGGCTTGTGTCCTAGATGGTCTCACTTAATAGTTCTTTGTGCTTTGTCATTCGGGTACTTTTCCATCTGCCAGGGAACAACAACAACAAAAATTACTGACTCTGGTCAATCCTATTAAACACAGCTCAGCATCTTGGGAAAAGCTGTTCGGTTTTAGCTGTAGGTTTGTTCTAAAGCAAATCCGTGGAACTTGGAGTAAGTATTTTATTTGGTTAAAAAAAAAAAAAAAAAATCAAACCAAAGTCAAAGTCTCAGGGAGTTTTTCCAAATGGTCCGTGATGGGGGAATGGCTCTATGGATTTGCAAGGGATCTGTGTTACAGAAATAATAAGTTGCCATGTCCTGGAGCCTTCCTGAAATTCTCAAACAGGTTTTTATGGGGCGTTGGAGTAAAACAAGTTCAAAGTCTGGTTCATTAAATCTTCGTCGCTGACAGCTGTTGGTGTGTTTGTTTTAAAGCGCAGGCTTCTGCTCATCCTTTGTGCATTTTTTTTTTTTTTTTGGCTTTTTTAGTTCGAAACCCATTTCCTCACCTTTGATTGTACAAGTCGGACACGCGGAGACGCTCCAGCCCCTGCTTGCCCTGATGGGCTTCTTCAAAGACGACGAGCCCCTCCAAGCCAACAACTACGTCAGGCAAACGGCTCGGAAGTTTCGCAGCGGCCGGATCGTGCCCTACGCAGCCAACCTGGTGTTTGTGCTTTACCACTGTGACCACGTGAAGACCTCCCAAGAGGAGTATCAAGTGCAGGTGCTGTTGAATGAAAGACTGATGGCGTTTCATCACTCCAACGACACCATCTCTACTTACGCCGACCTCAAGGACTACTACAAGGACATCCTGGAAAACTGCCACTTCAAGGAAGAGTGCGAGTTGCCAAAAGCCAACGCCACTGCCGTTGACGAACTTTGAGGGTGTGAAGCGGAGCGGGCGTCCTGCGAACTGATCTCGGTTCTGTTTGACAGTGAACAAGCACTTTGGAGGATTTACTGCTGCTGTGTTGACTTTCTAAGCTTGCAGATCTGCTGGCTTGTCTCAGTTAGGTCAATGCACCCTTTATTTATGACGTAAGGAGAATTACAGAAAAACAAATGCTGCAACAGGGACGTTGCTGAGCGTGTGTAACAAATGCGTGGTACAAGATGGAGCCTACCTGTATGTTTATATGTAGGAATAAGTAATTTCATTGGTCATTCCTCTTATGAATGTCCCGTAGATGGATTTAAGAGCTGGGGCAACTCCTGTTTGTCAGAGCTGAAGGTGGTTGGACTGATTCAGGATTGCTTTGCGCTGCCTGTTTTGCTAGCTACTGCTTTCCTGTGGCAGGCATGAAACAACTCAAATCCGTGAGCGTTTTTGCACCTTTTCCTGAGCTTCTAGGAGGAAGGGGGTACATAGTCCTTCTCCACAGCTGCCCAACTTCTGCCTGGACAGTACCATGAGAACATCTCTCTCAGGCATTTAAAGCAGGAGGAGTTGCAGTGTTCCTCCATGTATTGTCTGCCTGAAAAAGGTCCAGGAGTTAAAAGTCTTAGTCATCATCGACCCATCCCATGTAGCAAGTTAGCCTCCAGGGTAAGTAAATTATCTTTAAAAAGAATTGGGGCGGAAAAAAAAAAAAAAAGTGAGGGAGTAGGAAGTAGCTGCTCTTCCTTTAAGGTGCTCTGGGAGATGCAGCAGATGTTCTCTACGTAACTGGGGTATCCTTTCACTTGACACCATCAATTTCTTGCGTTGAAAGGTTTGAGCCAGGGCATTCAGGTTAGGCTCTGCTATAGAATCATAGAATGGTTAGGGCTGGAAGGGACCTTCAAAGGTCATCTAGTCCAACCCCCCTGCAAGGAACAGGGATATCTCCAACTAGATCAGGTTGCTCAGGGCCTCGGCTATGAGCCTATGGCTATGAGCATCTTGGTCCTGTCCAGGTGCTGACACTTTCCCTAGCAGCTCTGGCTGGAAGGGATCTCCAGAGGTCTGCAGTCCAGCCTCCTGCTTGAGATAGGATTGTTGCTAACCCTAAATCCAGGCAGGTTTTGGACTGTAAAAAGTATCTGGCTGAGACTTGGCTTCTGTTAACTTTACAGCACCGAAGGTGGTGGCACTTACGTGGGCCTTGCACATTTGATGTACCACCTTGTTCTTGAAATGAAGCTGGTTTTAAAGAAGTTAATTACATGCAAGTATGCAGCCTTCCAGTACCTAAAGGGGACCTACAGGAAAGCTGGAGAGGGGCTTTTTACAAGGGTGTGTAGTGATAGGACAAGGGGCAATGGCTTTAGGCTGACAGAGGGGAGATTTAGATCGGATCTAAGGAAGAAATTCTTCCCTCTGAGGGTGGTGAGGCACTGGCACAGGTTGCCCAGAGAAGCTGTGGCTGCCCCATCCCTGGAAGTGTTCAAGGCCAGGTTGGATGAGGCTTTGGGCAACCTGGTGTAGTGGAGGGTGTCCCTGCCCATGGCAGGGGGCTTGGAACTGGATGATCTTTGAGGGCCCTTCCCACCCAACCCATTCCATGATTCTGTTGGTGACCTGTTAAAGCAACTCCACTTAAAGTAGGTTCACTTGCTACTGGAAGTTGGAAAGTATTTTAGAGCTCTGCAGTGTGGCAGAAAAACGAAGATAATTGTTCAGAAGTGCCTGAAATGCAGTAAATCAGATGAAAATTTCTTCATTGCCCGGAAGGAAATGGCTGTGTGCGCAAGTTGCCCCAAAGCAAATGAGGGTGTGGATTTATGGTGCTGGTGGCTCCTGAGGTGTGTACTCGTACCCTGTCATGAGTGTTGCAGAGCTCACCCCATCGTTTGACGTGGTTACTGGGGAGGGGGCGATTACCAGAAGGGATCAGGTGCCCTACAAACGGTTATACCCCTGTTTGCTGCAGGGTGGCTCCTGTTTGTAGGCTGATCCTCAGAACTGGGAACTTAACTGCTGCAAAAATAGGAAAGAGAAAGCCAAACTGGCTCAAAGTTGATGAGTTGGACTTAGTGTATGATTTTTTTTTTTTTTTTTTTTTTTTTAGTTTTCCTAAGGACTTAAGCTCCCATCACTTTTTTTTTTTTTAATATGGCTTGTATGAAAGCACTTAAGGTTTACATACCTGTAAGTTATGGAGCAATCAGAAGCCTGTTTTGTACTGTTGTGCTCTTGAGTTAAGGGCTTTTCCTTACGCCGAGACATCCTACAGGAAAGCTGGAGAGGCACTTTTTACAAGGGCATGTAGTGATAGGACATGGGGCGATGGATTTGAACTGAAAGAGAGGAGATTTAGATTAGATATAAGGAAGAAATTTTTTACTGTGAGGGTGGTGAGGCACTGGAACAGGTTGCCCAGAGAAGCTGTGGCTGCCCCATCCCTGGAAGTGTTCAAGGCCAGGTTGGATGAGGCTTTGGGCAACCTGGTGTAGTGGAGGGTGTCCCTGCCCATGGCAGGGGGGTTGGAACTGGGTGGTCTTTGAGGTCCCTTCCAACCCAACCCATTCCATGATTCTATAAGGCCCTGTTTCATTAGTGCATCCATTTCTGTGGAGACCAGGATCCTGATCGCTGCAGATGCTGATTAAAACCGGTGGCTATTTCGGCGTTAACATCCCGGTGGAATACTTGCCTGTATTAACTCTGCAGCTCTTTTTCTGAAACTGGTGAAATTACTGGGGAGGAGTATCGATGCTGAAACAGGTGTAGGGATATAGGTCGGGATCATTTTCAGCCCCAGCATGACTTTCACTGCTCTATCAGCCTTGCACGCCTCCTTTTGCACATGATCCTAAGTTGAGACTAAGTCAACTGATGGTAATTACTGTGACAGATGCCTGTTACCAACTTTATTGCAACATTTGAGGCAAGCTGCAGAGAAATGAACCTTTGTTTGAAGGTAGTTAAGTTTGGTAAATAGCAGATGCAAGGGTGAGAATACCCACCTTTGAACAAATATTTTTTGTTCTGTGAGTCAGGCATCCTGTGGTGATTCATGATTTGAACAAAAGGGATGAAAGGCTGACTACTGGAGATGAATGGAGGGTTTCTGGTTGTCGCTTCGGTGAGACTGATGTGAAGACGTCATGTTTGTTAACAGCTACGTCCTTCTTCCTTATGGAGGAGGAATATGTCGCTCTTGACTGCGTTTTTGATTACGTGCCAGGTGAGGTGGAGCAACCAAAAAACTCCTTCTGCAGTGAAGCATCATTACGTTGACGGTACGCTTAAATTCTGTGCAAGGGGCTTCAAGGATGACTCTTCAGAGGCTGTTCCCTGTTTTATTTTGGAGTACAGGTCCATCATACCTCCAGCTACATCTTCGGTGGCCGTCAGCAGTTAACTGGAAAGGAAAACGTGCTGGTTGGTTTCTGATCTGTGTTTGAAGGATGCATCGACTCGCTCCTTCGGCAGAATGTGGAAACTTTGCACAATTCTAGCAACAGAAATGTTTGGACACGTAAACGTTCTAGGCACTTGGTCATGTGACTTATTCTTACCATTAGGGAGGTGACTTCACTATAAATTTGGTTCTAGACCAAGAAGTAAAACCCAAACAGATGAAAATATCACCAGAAAGTTGGGCACTAGCTCAGTGAACAGTGTTTGAACAGGCTGCCGTATCTCATGGCGTTGCAGACTACCACATCCTGAAAAAGTCCTGCCAGAAAAATTGGACTTTCTCTTCCCTCATGTGGCTCTAGACAAAACATCTCATCTCAATCATCCGTTGAGGACTTTCCTTGCAACCTTTCTCAAACTGGAAGCTTTCATTGATGAAAAATACCGACAGTGTTCTTGGATGCTGGCCTTAAATATTTAAGTTTGAAATGTGCTTTATTTTGTTAAATGTCTCGAGCTTGATTAATCTGGCAAATTCATTTTTTCCTCCTAGTAAGAACTGCTGCTGTAATTCTGGTTAGCATGGAGCTGTCACATTGCTGGCCACAACACCAATTTGTAACGATGTGGTACTAACTGGATGAATTTTGGGAACTTGTTTGGGATTTTGAGTGCTGTGAAATAAACCTGCAAACTTTCTCCATCTCTGTTTTATGGCCAGTAATAATGACACAATCTTTAGTGTCACGGCTGTGTTCTGCTTCAAAAGACTTTTGGTAGGTTGCTCTTATTGGTGTCTCTTGATTTTTAAGTCATCAAATTGCTTGGTGATTAATATAAAATGCCTTAATCAGGTTTTTACTCTCACATTTTGAGATGAATGAAAACTCACTCTTGTTTCCAGGAGCCCTGGTTTTCAAAACAGCGATAGCTTCCTGACAAGGTTTTTGCAGATATTCCTACAGCCTGCAAATCACCTGGAAACGTCCTGCATTTTTGGAGTGGAGTGAAGGTTACGGAAGTGCAGTCCAGGATCTGCTGCAAATAGTCTTTTTCTAAACTTCATCACTCCCTCAAACAAGAGATTGACACTGTTGAGTTGGTAAAGAATTAGAAACGTCCATCATGCAGTACCTTCTAACCTGAAAGAACACAATCACACCCCCCCTCATCATCCCCCCTTTTTTCCGTGTATAATTTATGAAATGATCCTTTTGTCAGCCCTCTAACTTTTCAAAAGGAAGTTGGTATTATGGGATTGGAGTTTCCAGTTGCTGGTATGGCAGAAATAAGGGGTTTATCTTTGAATTGTTAAATCCTGGCTTTCTTGGGCTTGCAGTTAGAGACTATTTCTCCTGATTGTCAGGGGGGTTTCAAACCTGGGCCGTTCTAAGGACTGTCCTTCCTCGATTGAAGCGCTCTCGTGTCTTCTGCAGCCTTCCAAGAGTAGCCAGCTATGGATCATTGGAAGAAGAATCAGAGACAAACACAGCCAGTATACACTGGTAAGCCCACCAAAGCGTGGTGCTGGGAGCGAGTGAGCTGGGGAGAGCTCAGAACTTTTAAGATTTTTGGGGAAGTTTTTTCTTTTCCCCCCC